CGCCATCCAACTTGACTTGCCCATGAGCAGTATTCTAGGGTTGAATTATAATATACATCTCTTCACTACTCAAGGCAATACCCAGGCCTGAGCTCTGGCGTTAAAACAACAGCCAACAAATTAGCATCATTAACTCACAAAATTAAACCAAACATCTGAACCCAAAGACACGGAGACAAAAAGGCCTTTCAGCCTTGACGAGATAGAACGTAAAACTGGATTCTCATACTCAAAGGAATGGTTCAGTGTGTATTTTTACTGAAGGATTGTTGCTACAGATGGATGAGAATAAGAGAGCAGAGTCATAAATCATTTCGTTTTAGAGTTCTGAACGGCCCAGGGAGACCACGTCAAGCTAGAAATATTGCTGTAGCTGAGTTTGAAAAATACTGCTATCCATCCTTTCATTCTGACATTCAATTTTTAAATTTTAGTTTAACATAGCTATTAGCATCACATGTCACAAAGTTGCTACCTGTAAGACTTATTAGGGTTTTTGGGTTTTTTTTTTTAAAGATTACTGTATATGGACTTTCTTTTAATATGTCATGCGTCTAATTTTTTTGTGTACTGAATACCATCTAGCTTTTTACTTTATACAAATACACACTAAAGCCAATGATGCAAAGTCACTGCCCCAAGGGCAAGAACTCTGAGAATGTGTAGCAAAGTAATATAATACTCATAATTCTAAAACATATATATATATTCGTTCTTGTGTATTTTAATTCAGGGTCTACAGGGTCTTACTACATAGATGGACTCATAGTGATCCCCGTTTTCAGTCTCCCAAGCGCTGGGATTACAGGCATGTGCCACTATGCCCAGTCTCATCCGCTCTAGGGGCGGGGCCTGCGCAGCACTCTGGGGATCAAACTCCCCAGCCACTGCATCTGCCTAAACAGACGCTTTAGTCTGCTGAGCTATCTGACCTGCCCTTAAAAATAATATGTATAAAGCCAATGATTTGGAGTGCTAATCTGTTTCTCAAGGTAATCTATTACAGAATACTAGAAGGTATTCAGCAAGCGGATATTGTTTGCTCAAGTACGTTTGGAAATGTTGGGTTAAACAAAGGCACTTAGAGCCTTACTAAAACTTTGGACTTTACAAACTCTTACGAAGAGATATAAAATAGGCAATTGGCTTTGCAAATTTATTGGACCACATGTAACATTTTCTATCCATAGAACACAGCATCAAACCAAGAGTCCTATGTTGCTTCCCTAGACTTTTAGCATCAGAATGACACCAGAAGATCCTCCTAAGCTCTGATCTGGTTATAAAGTGGCCACTTTAGCTTATACAGTTTCACTGGCTCCCCTTAGCCAGCTGAACCCAGACCCCTTTGGGGCAAAGCATGAATGTCCCCCATAACCTACAAAGATGGGATCTTAACTGTCTGGAACTTCATGCTTCCAAGTGGTGGCTTTAAATCCTCTTATCCCTACATATCTAAGAGATGCTGCAAACTCACATCTACTGAAGGTGAGGTGGGAGGTAGCAAGCAGTTCCTTAAAAGGTACAGCTGAGATCCCAGTGTTAGGTGGGTACGGATTTGCATAGATACAGTTTGAGAAATAGTTTGGGAGATTCTGATTTTTTTTTCATTAATACTTAAAACTAACCCCTCATTGGGTGTGGTGGTGTATGCCTGTAATCCCAGCACTCTGAGGGCTGAAGCTGATAATTTTAGCCAAGGCCAGCCTGGGGGGGAGATCCTTCCTCAAAAACAACAAGCAGGGGCTGGGGAGACGGCTCAGTAGAATAAGCACTTCCCTGGCAAGCGCAAGGACCTGAGTTCAATCCCAGGTTCCGCAAAAAAAAAAAAAAAACAACAAGCAAATAAACAAAAACAGCTAACTCTTCCGAGCCCCTGCTAGCAAGGAAACAAAGGAAAGCCCAAATTTGGCCCATGTGCTATATCCTACTCCCTCCTAAATAAGAGATAAGCACCTCAGAATAGAGAGGTTATTATTTCTTACTACGGACAGCATACAGGAAACAAGACAGGAAGCCTGTAATCTGGCCTGTAATCCAACGGACCAGCTCATTAATGCAGCCTGCCTAGCAGCACCCATGCTGAGAGGCCTCACTCAGGAAACAGCACCAACCCGAGGCTGCAGTGAGCACAGCCCCTCTTCAGCAAACATGAGCTGGGTCAGCAGATAATGCAGGCGAGCTGGCAAAGAACGTCCCCCCAAATGGGCTCACCGTCAGGAATCCAGCCAGACAGCTGAGGGCTCGAATAAAAGAGGTGACACACAAAAGAACTGCTGAAGAAGAATTTAGGCAGAAACAGAAAAGCAACTTGAAAAACAATTACTACATTATAAACATAAAGAGAAAATGTTCAACCTTAAAAAAAAGTTCATAAAAATCAAAATGCATTTTTTTTAAACAAAATACGTAACTGCCGAAATAAAACATTTATGGGAATGGCTGGCTAGCCAATCTGGTGTACATGGTTTAAAGAAACAATGTATCAAATAGAAAAATTTTCCCAGAACTACCACACAAGTAAATGAAGATATGAAAAGTACAAAAGAAATGTTAAGAGAACAAAGACTTCAACTGGAAGTTTCGTTGTCTACAAAAAGTCCTGTTAAGAAGAAGACAGAATAAAGAGACAGTATTTGCAGTAAGATCGGAATATTTCCTAGAATTAAAAATCTATGCGGGCCGGGAAATAGCTCAGTGGGATAAATACTTGCCTGGCAAGCTCAAGGTCCTGAGTTTGATCCCTGGTACCACACACACACACACACACACACACATGCAAGTTGATGGGCAAAAAGATCTAGGACCATGATAAGTAAGCTAAACACATGAGCACACGCACACACATCACCTGACATGGTACAGCAAATCTTCAATAGTTTTTGATTCAGGTAGCTGGCTGTGGTGGCACATGCCTGTAATCCCAGCACTCAGGAGGCTGAGACAGAAGAATTGTTGCCAGTTTAAGACCAGCCTGGGTTAGAAAGTGAGCCCAAGGCCAGCCTGAACTACATAGCAAGACCCCCTCTCAAAAAGACAAAAACATAAAAAATAAAATAAAATTTAATAAAAGGGCCGGGGAGATAGCTCTGCGGCCTAAGTGATTGTCTGGCAAGCGCAAGGTCCCAAGTTTGATCCCTGGTACTGAGGGAAAAAAAAAAATTCAGGTCTAGAGAAATCAAACAACCAGGAAAAAAAATGAAAGAAAGAAAGATAGAAAAAAGAAAAAATCAGATTATAAAACTAAGGAGAATCATAGTACAACTAACAAATAAGTCAAGATCAAACTCCTCATCAGTATCACAGGAATACAGAAGAACAATGGAGCATTATCTTTAAAAGATTTAAAGAACTTTGTACCTAAATTTTTATTTATTTATTTTTTTTTTGGCACCAACAATTGAACTCCCAACCTCACACTGGCCAGATAGGTGCTGTGCCGCTGAGCTATATCCTGGCCCTATATGTAAAATTTTATGTGGCTAAACTAACAGCAATAACAACAACAAAAAAAAATGTTTTGCGACATGCCAACATTCAAAGTTTACTATCAGTAGATAGATATATTTTAGCAAGGATGACAAATGATTTCAGGATACAGCACTGATACAGAATAAGCATTGTTGAAGAAAATGTTTGAATTTTTTTATTCACAAAAATATGTAAGAAAAATGTCATTTAGTAACAACAGAATTGATCAAAAATAAGTAAGTAAATAAATCCAACATGAGAACTAGAGAATGGGAATCTGAGAGAAGTCAACATAAGTCAGCGCTCTTAAGCTGTATGGGAAGAAATCCTTAGAAGCTGAGTTTTTCCTGCTTCTAAAGTTAGTAAGGAATCAAATATTAAATGCAATGAAGTTTTTTGTTGTTTTGTTTCAACACAAGGAATCACTATGCTGCCCAGGCTGATGTCAAACGCCTGGGCTCAGGCAGCCGTCCTGTGTTTTAATCTGCTCAGCGGATTAAAGTGCCTGCTTAGGCAGATGCAGGGGCAAGAGTTCTATCCCCTGGCCTGCCTGCCAGCCCCACCCCAGGGGCCGCTGAGATGGTGATCAAGACTGGGTGTGGTGGCTCACGCTGTAATCCCAGCACTTGGAAGGCTATAAATAGGAGGATCACTATGAGTCTGACCTAAGCAGTGAGACACTGTACACTTTGTGGACCCTGCCCTAAATACAAAAAAAAAAAAAAAAAAAAAAAAAAAAAAAGAGTTTTTGTTTTTGTTTTTGTTTTTGTTTTTTTTATGAGCAGAATATATTTATTGAGGGAAAGAAAGTTCCTATCCGAGAGAGGGACAGGAGGGGGGTCCCAACTGGGTGGTCCCCAAAAGAGAGAGATTTAAAGTTGATAAATCAGGTAAATAATCCAGCAGAGAGAAACACTATCAGAGACAAGTTTGCCTGGCCCACTCAACTGCTTGTGGTCTACTTCACTATTCATGATCTTCCAAGGCCAGTGACCCTATTCTTTACAGTTTGAGTATCTATTGCTTGTGTCTGAACTTGCCTTAGAATCCTCACCATTCTCCTTGTCTCTACTCATGATCCCACCATGCGTTTGGCAAACTTTATATTATGGCGCTGGGATCTTCTACCACGCTGTTTACAAAACAACCTTGCTTGTAAAATGGAAGTCCTTAAGGGCTCAGTCAGCCTCTTCATTCCTACATCTCTACTAGAGCCAATCAACTAGATGGACAGAGAGGCAATGTTTACATGCTTAGAACAGGGCGAGACTAGAATCTAGATGACCAAGAGTATAAATTACAGTAAATTAGTTCTTGCAAGTAGGCAAGGATCACATCCAAGCTGCTACTGAATTTTTAGGAAGAAAAAAAAAAATCATCCTTGGATGTTTTTTGTTAAGCTTAGAAATCAAAGGAGGTCAGGATGTAAGAGGATGGACTAGACATGGGGATGGCGCTTTCTTCTCCAAAGCTCAAAGGTCAGAGAAAAATTTGAAGGAGACACTTCGCTGGTCCAGATTATACTGTACCTGCAGAAGCTCTAGGTCGTCCGAGTTTTCAGAGCCAGGCGTGTTCTCCATCAGGATGGTGGACATCACCCTCACATTCATTTTCACCATATCCAACTCGCTGTGCAGTTTTCCAATCTGCAATGACCAACACAGCCACCAGTCAGCAAGTGTGCTGCATAAAAAGGGTTAACATTTATTTTCTGCTCACAGGCCATATGCCGGAAGAGAAATTGCTTTTGAAGTTTATACAAATATATATATTTATATAAAAGAGCTGTCATTGAAGACTTTGTATTTATA